TCCTTTGAGGCCTTGCGAACTTTTTTTTTTGCCAACTCTTGGAGTAAATACAGGGTGGATCAAAAGTGGGTTTACAGTTGTCCATATAATACAATAAATAATAATACAAGAATAAACTCTGTTTTGCCTACTCGCAACTGTCAACTTACTTTTGCCCCGCTCCCCCATGTATTAAGTCTAATTTAGAGGCTTCCTGCGTGGGAGAATGTAGCAACAGATCGTAACATACTGTAAAAATGAGCACCCCTGTGGGAATTACAGGGAGCTCAGATCTTGATAGAAGGCTTGAGGAAAAATAGGTGTAAGCTTCAGGAAAACCCCGAGGCATTACAGTCCAAATACATTGTCTCTTGTTCCATGTAAAGGCAAATAAACATTGTCTACTTGGGACCACAGGGGTATTAAAGAAAGCTGAGCCTTAGCTGGTTTGGCTTAGTGGTTAGAGTGTAGGCCCGCAGACTAAAGGGTCCTAGTTCAATTCTGGTCAAGGGCACGCCCCTTGGTTGCAGGCTCAATTCCATCCTGGGCCCTGGTCCAGGCGTGTCAGGGAGGGAGCTAGTTAATGTGTCTCTCTCACATTGATGTTTCTCTCTGTCTCTTCCCCTCTCTACTCTCTCTGAAAAGCAATGGAAAAATATACTTGGGTAAGGATTAACCAAAAAAAAAAAAAAAAGAAAAAGAAAAAAGGCTGAACATAAGTTTACCACTGTGAATCACTTAGGATTTGTGTGACCTGTGATAACAAGATGTTTGGATTGGGTGCCTCCAGAAAAAGAGGAGTCACAGTTTTATTTATTGTCCCTAGATCTTGGACAACCAACTCATCCTCCTTGCCCCTTTGGCTTTTTAATTTGAAGAATGGGAATATTACAAGGGCTGGTTGGTGCAAGTGAGAAATAAACTGAGGGAAATTAAAGAATTCACAGTCGGGGTGAGCCCTTGCACAGCTTGATTTTAATGGATAGTAAGACAGTTTAGGCAAAGTTTTGGTATATTCTGTTCAGACTTTTATGAGTTCAGCACTTTTGATTGTCAACTATCTGTTAGTAAAGTTGCCAGAATCTAGGGAACTTCAGATAACTCTGAGTCTCATGGGGTGACTCACCTTCAATATCATCTATAGCAAACTGTAGGCACATAATAATTCTCTTTCAGGTTGGTCAGGTAATTCAAGGCTTAATTTTCCATTGGGAGTAAAATTTGTGCCTTTGTAATTTAAATATGAGATCTTGGCTGATTAAATTCAAAGGGGTTGAATCACAAAGTCTAAAGGTGTAATTGTAGGAACCCGGCCCTAGGGTCAGTCATCTGGGCTGGTTTTGATGGGTAGTCTCCTTGTTTCTTATTTGAAACCACTATTTTATATTGTTTTTCACTTGATGGAGTGGTTGTCTTAAAAAGGTGGGGCTCAATATAGGTAAGGTCACTCCTATATCTACTAAAGCTGTACATGTTTCTCCATGAGTTGAGATCTCAGGGTAGTTAGGAAGAAGGGACGTGAGAGGATGGGGCACAGTTGGGATTAGAGTGACTGGGTAAAATGCCTTTTCTGCTTTTTTAGATTTCTGTTGTTTTAACTGTCTGGCAGCTTTTTGCCATGAATATTTAAGAGACAATTTTTGATTGAGAAGCTTACACATCAGCATACCAAAGAAAGTATGCCATCCTTTTTGTTTATTGTTTGAACCTGTACTTTAAAGACTCTTCATAAGTGGATAAGCCCAAACACAGAGAACCCCAAATTGGCGACTATACTTCTAAATTGTCTTTGGTTATTTATTGCCAATGTTTTAGGAATAGACAGTTGTTTGCATCTTATCTCTTTATCATAAAAAGGGCAGGAGTCCTGGGAGGTGTGTCCCTGCTTTCTGTAGATTGCGAACTAGCCATTATTTTTCCTTGTTGAAATAATATTTTTCTAATTCAAGCAGATTTCCTGTTTCTGGCTGCCCGTGCACAATTCCTGAGACCTGTAAGTCTCGTGTGAAAATCTGGAGTCTGTCACACCCCAGTTTCCACACTGTAAATATCTGAAGTTTTTCAAATCCACATTTCCATCCTGTGAGAAGTCTGGAGTCTCTCACACCCCAATTTTCTAGCAGGAAGGATTAGAACAAACATCACTGAAGAACTCAGAACACAAAATAAGTGGAGTTTGATTTGAGAGAAGCTTACGGGGCAATCTTGGAGGGACAGGAAACCTAAAGGCACTCTGGGTACCTTCACCTGCATCTGGGAGCCATCCCTGGAATCTTCAGCAGGTTTCTTCAGATTCCATCCTCATCGCCAATCTGTCAAATGACAAAAGTATACAATTTAGTAATGAGTTTGATGTCCTTTATTCAAAGGGAAAAAATCCATGGATTGTGTCGTGCGGTGCCTCACAAATAGTGGAGCATTCTTCTGAGGGATTTGGGGCAAGAGCAAGTTTTATAGAGCATTAGAGGCAGCAACACAATGCAGAGCATGATTGAGGTCAGAGATTGCCGGGTCAGACTGTCAGATCCTGTTTCCGGGGGGAAGGTGAGCTAGCTGAAGCTGAGTTGGAGGACTGGGATTGGGTATGCTAGCAGTAAGGCGTTTCCCACAAGCGTGGCCTTACTTAAGTTTATATTTGTGATATGTGGTAACCTCCATTTTGTGGATAGCAGAATTCCAAATTTCTGAAATACATAAAATATAAAAATATATTTCCTCTGTTCACATTGTTTCAACTAGCATTTGGGGAGTGGGTACTGAACATTGGGCTCCTTTTAACTCTTTGTTAGTCTTAATGATTCTACAGATTTTGTGTTCGTTTGTTGTTTTTTTGTATAAGCATTTTTGGTTGGCAAATACATATTGTACCTATATATCATGTTCAGTAGCCCTGTGATTATTTTCGTCATCAGATATTTCACCTTTTTCATGCATATAGTCATTTAAAAAAATAAGGATATTCCAGGCACTGAGTGTGTAGCAATGTGTGATAGACAAATTCCCTTTCTTCATAAACTTCATATTATAGTGGATAATGATAGACAATAAACTAGAAATGATAGAACTAAATAAGATATTTTCCCAGTAATAAGGTCCATGAAGGAAATAGCAGAAATATGAAATTAAAATATGAATCAGATAAAGAGGAGATCATGTGCCTAGAAAAGACTCATCAGGAAAGACTGTTCTGAGGATGTTGTGCTTGAGCTGTAACTTCAGTGATGGGTTGACTGTTAACAAAACTGGAGCAAGCGTCTTGGTAGGGGAAATCATATTATGAAGAATAATTACTTTTCAATGCTGCTTATTGCTTTAGGACTTCTTCATGTTGACTGTGGTCTTATCTTCCTACTTATAGTCTCTACGTATTCTAATCTATATGGTACCACAAAGAAATATGCAAAAATAAAGCAAAAAAAAATAAAAAAGAAAGAAAGAAAAAAGAAAACACTGCACACAGCTTACATTGTTTTGTATTTAAAACTCCCTGGCTCACTAGGTTTACTAGTAAATGATAAAATTCACATTTCTCAAACTAGCATCTGTAGCAGCTAAAATTATACCCTTCCCTATTTAGGCAATTTTAGCTCCTACTGTTTCTAAACTTAAACCTTTTATTCCATTTAAACTGCTCCAACAAAATTGCTATATCTTGTCTCTGTTGTTTAGTGTTTTGGTTGTTTGTTTTGTTGTATTTAACCATTTTATCTGGACTAATCCTCCTCTGTAATATCTTTCTTTTTGGGCCAAGCCGCAATCTCATATACTTGATTTGATCACCCAAACTGGGAGTGATCTCTCATGTCAGAACTTCAGCAGCTATCAGCCCTATATAACCTACTGTCTTGCAGTTGTCTGTTCTATATAATATCAGTTCTCAATATATGTACATATATCATATATTCACATATAACCTATCACCTCATAGTATAGATCATTTTTTTTCTATATCTATGTCTCTCCAACTAAATTCTACTTTTCTTAGGGGCAGATATCATATTCTATACTTCTTAGTATAGACTTTTAAACATTTTAGTTTTCTACCACTTACTCTATAATAAAGTATAGAAATTTAAAAATAATAACATTGTTGCTACAGATTGACAAAATTATGTTGGAACTTTGTGTTTAGGACCTTGTATTGTAACTAAATATGATTTACAACAATATCAAAAGAACCATGTGAGACTTATTACTTAATTGCTTAATTTGCCTGAAGTTTTTTACTTGAAGAATTCTAAGAGGAAATAGTTTAGTAAAATTGTTATTTTTGACTCTACAAAACCAAGGAAATAATAAAATTTAGTCCATTGGTCTTCCCTCTTTCATATTGTGTTTAATACTAACATGTATTTAATTGGAAATTAGGAGCCTGTAAACATTACTAATATAAATATTTTTAGTAAATTTTAATAGCAATATTTACTTAGTAAATCATAAATAGGACAGTTTTATGTTGGTCTGTGTGCTTTTTTAAAGTGTCTAAAAATTTTATATGTTCATTAAATTTCATTTCATTTTGTTTTATTAATTTGATGTCATTCATTTATTTATTTTTGTTTTCTTCTTTTCAAGGCCCTGTGGAATCCTACATGCACTGAAGGTTTATTTAAACCAGTACATATTTCAACCTAGGTTAAATCATTACTTGACCATAAGGAATCGGTGACTTATTAAATGTTGAATATAATCAATTTTCCTTTATTCTATATGCTAACTATTTCTCAGAGTATGTAAGACAGAAATGTTTCCATTCCAAATATTTCACGCATTTTGCATTTGTACCAAATTGCATAAAATATTGATAAAAGTTTCAACTAACATATTCCTACCTTATTTTTATTGTACTTTAAAAACAAAATAGACTTTTATTTAAAAATTCTATGTTCAACTGTTCTAGAATGTAATATTCCACTTGGCAGTACATATTTTTTGTTCAAGTTTCTCATCCATATCATTTGTCCCTGTGGTTATAGTCTTCATTTAATTTCACCACATATTCTGTGTACATTAGGTAAGTTTGAAAACAATGCTTTTAGCTCTGCTGTCCTAGTAGGGCAATTTCTACTGAAGAACTAAATTATCTCTATTTTTTCCTTACATTGAGATAAAAAGATGAAAGCAGTATGTCTTCCAATAGAATAATGATGGGTCTTATTCTTAGTATAGAAATTAAAAATCTGTATCACTAAACAGGTGAAGAAGGTTTATTGGATATGGACCTTATAAGTATTGTGGGAAGTTTTTTGAAATGTCATAAATGAAAGCATACCTCCTAGACTTGAAATAGCCACATGATTTTGGCCTGTCCTTGTGTATTAACTTTCTATAATAGTTAACTTTAATTATCAAATGGCTAGGAAGCAACAAGGCACTCCTGAATGTTGTAGTTTATTGCAAGGATGAGTGATGGATCCCAGAGAGTGGCTCAGTGTTATGGGCAGGGTGCTGGGAACTAGAACAGCCATAGTGCTAAGGAGAAGAAAGCAGGTGTTATTGAGTTCTATAAAATAATCATGGTTAATGGTGGTAACATTCAAGAATATGTTATAAAATTTCTTAAATTATTTGTGTTGTTACATAACATATTACGCATGGTCAAATGCTGGGTTTAAATCATGGTACTGAAATAAAACTACAAATATATTTATTTACATGAAAACACTGTATGCCTCGTTGATTTTGCCACTTAAAGCACCCTTTTATGTCAAGATACAAAAACTTCTGTTTCTCTGTTTTCTAGAGTTTATTCTTCTATCCTGTTATTATCTTCCTTTTTATTTTCTTATTTTATATTTGAAACTTTTTAATTTAGATAATGTAAGGAACTATAACACCTACAATGAAGTACTTCCTTGGTAAAGATTATTAACTTGAATGGTCAATGTCATTTTAAAGAAGAAGAAGAAAGAATTCAGTTAAAGGTATTTTGACTAGGATGCAAAGGAAAAAAAAAAAAGGCTTTGTATTAGCAACTGGATTAAGTCAATAAAGAAAGGTACTTTTCCCCTCAAAAGTAATGAGCAGAAGCTCTCAATCAATACAGACTGAAAAAAAAAGGTCTCTACCTCAAAAGGTACAATTTTATGACTTCTCTTTAATACTGGTAAGACATTTCAGTGCTGCTTGCTCCAAAGCCCTTCCATCTCTTACCCACCCGCCCATTTTATTTTAATTTTTTACTGGAACTTGGGCTGAATATACATCTGTGAACATGTAATATACTGGTTAATTTTACTTTCATGGAAAAATATATATTTTCTCACAATGTTTATTATATAATCTGTCCATTTAACTTTAATTTTCTTGTATTTATTTGATTATATTAAAAGTGAATTAAAAACAGGGTGAACATGGAAGTGTTGATCTGTTTTTAGCAAAAAATGTATAGGAACCATTGTAAGTACTGTACTATATCCCAGGGTATAATAAAGCTAAGATTTATAATTATTCCCCAAAGAAGAAGAAAGAGGCATCAGAGTGTATCTGACGATTGCAAAGAGTGCAACATTAGTACTTATTGATGAAAGGAAACATTATGTTTTACCTCTATGCCTGTATATTTGTCTGAAATAGTCACTAACTAAAAATAAGAGATGGGCAAGTATAAGTATATTCATTTTCAAAATAAGAATAGTGGAATTTGAAGAGGTTGGGTGACTTTCTCAAGTTCATGTAACTTTACTAACAAGTGTCAGAGCTATAGATTGTGCTTAGGTATTCCAGATCAAAAGTCAGGATTTTGTTTTGTTGTCCTGATTTTAGAATGCAGGTGGATTGCATGATTGAAAAACTCAATACAAATTATACATGTATTACATATGCAAATATATAGGTAACTGTATACTGTATATGTGTTATAAATTATTAAAGAGTGAATTCTCACCCTGGCTGGTGTGGCTCACTTAGTTGAGCATCCTCCCATGCACTAAAAGGTTGTGGCTTTGATTCCCTGTCAGGGCACATGCCTGGGTTACGGGCTCAATTCCTACTGGGGGATGTGCAGGAGGCAACTGATCAGTGATTCTCTCTCCCAGTCCCTTCCTCTCTCTCTCTCTCTCTCAAATCAATATATATATATAATTTCTCTAAAATATGCAGTGTGGACCAGCAATAACTGTGATGATGAAGATGTACTATGTTAATGCCCATATACTATGTATAATATATGAGCATATGAGCTAAGGAAATAATTTTATGATAGTGAGAATTATTTATTTAAATACAGAAGTGCTTAGAAGGAAAACCATAGACACTTCTACTAGATATTTTAACAGTTATTAACACATACTTTATATTTTAAATAATTCTGAAAATTTAATCTGTAGTGCCCTAAAATATATGCATATTAGTTGTTATTTATTTCTATTTTTAACTATAGGCAACTTATCCTTCTTGGTTAGATTTAGGACATATAGTTGTTTTAAAAGATTTTTAGTAACTGTAAAATAAGTATGTTATTTTGTACATATGATTTTTATTATGACCCACATGAAAACTTCCTTGCTAAAGTGTTTAAAATTCTATAACTTTGCATAATTACCTAAATTTGACATTGTTTTAAATAATGTTTATTTAGAAAACAAAATATACTTCCTGTTCCACATTTAACCTGATGATAGAGGCATGAATGTCCAAATTTAACAAAGGATGCTTTTCATGTTGCTGTGTTTTGTGCTTTTTTATCCTTTTAGGACTCTAAATATAATTCCAGAAGATCTTAATTTTTTTATGTATAATCACCTTTTCTAAAAAAAAAATTCTCTGTTTGGCTTGGTAGTTTTGTGTTTCTTTTTTTTGGCGGGGGGCGGGGGGGGTTAACAGTAATCACCATTATGATGTGTTGGAACCTTTTTAAAAAATTGTAACAGTATTTTATATATTTTTAAACATACCAATTGTACTTGATTTATGTAGCTGAAAGATGTCCACATGTCAAGGATAGATTGATGGATGCATCTTCCATTGAAAAGAACTGATATTCTTGACATCAATAAGCATTAAGAGCTGTTAGATTGTCCTATGCCTTCCAAGTGATGTCTGTTGAATATATAGTATGCTTATACCATTAATTGCAATGGATAAAAGTAAGGTAGGCTGTATATGGGGGAAGATGTAAATACCTTTCTTACTTTTTACCCCAAATCAAACAATGAGTATATCCATTGACTTTATGAAAAAAAAATCTGTTTTTCTTTTTTCCTCTTTCAATGCTGTACATTGATGCACTTATAGGAGGTTTATGAGCAAGAGGCTCAAATAATGATAAAATATTTTTAGCGATTGTTCCAAACATCTGAAAGCTATTTATTGCAGCATTAATTTCATATGCATGTGTGCGAAATGAGGACACTATCATTGTAAAGTTATGTTATTGAAAAAGGAACTTGATGAGGAGGAGGATGTTTATAGGAGCAAGAGCATTCCTAGGGAAGAAAGCGAAAGAGCTTCTTGATTTCTGGGAAGAGTAATGACAAATGGATGCTAAGTGAATTGTGATGGAGAAAAACAAGTATGGCAGCAAGGGTAAAACCATTGTTGTGGTACTTCCCTCTGAGATTTAGTTTTTTTGTGTTTTTGTGCTTTTTTTTTAATTTAAAAAAATGTGAGACTCAGGAGATGAAGGAAGTGTCCCTGCACCCTTTAAGGAAGATCAGCCAATATCTTAAACTCTGATGAACAATCTGGAAGGCTTATGTACTAATACATTTGAATATAATATTCAGGGAGAATGAATAAATGTGTTACCTTTCTACTCAGGCTCTTCATAGAAGTTTCTTCTTCATAAGGCTGGCAGAATTTCTAATGTGGAAAAAACTTGTGTACTTTTTTTCCCCACTAAGAATAGCAGAGTGAACTTGAAAGAACAGATAACTTCATTTGGCAATAAATATGCTCCACAGATTTTAATTTTATTTATATCATGGTATGTATATGTTTTAAGAAGTTACTGTTAAAATAGATTTGAAGTTTCATTTATATTAGTACAATTTTTATACAACTTTGTTTTATGACTTATGTTTTTGGAGATTTCTGTAATCTAACTGGCATTGGGTGTAACCACATGAATTTTAAAAATAGGTTTCTGAAAATCAATGACTAGTCTCTTGAAAACTACCTTATGCACTTCAGTAATGCAAATATAATATAAGTAAAATTTTATATTCATAAGCACATTCTATATATTAAAATTTTTCTAATGTTTTATCAGAATGTGATCTGGCCCTAACCGGTTTGGCTCAGTGGATAGAGTGTCGGCCTGTGGACCCAAGGGTCCCAGGTTTGATTCTGGTCAAGGGCATGTACCTTGGTTGCGGGCACATCCCCAATAGGGAGTGTGCAGGAGGCAGCTGATCGATGTTTCTCTCTCATTGATCGTTTTAATTCTCTATCCCTCTCCCTTCCTCTCTGTAAAGAATCAATAAAATATATATATATTAAAAAAGAATGTGATCTGATAAAACAAACAAAAAAATCTGCTTTTTGCATTAATTTGATTTAAAAAGTAAAAAAGCACCTAAAAGAAAAATGTCATATATACATTGGAAATTTATTGTTGCTTTCTAATGAAAAAAAAAAAAAAGAATATTCAGTGCATGGCGAACTAACACAAAGGATCAGATTGTTAAACCAGACTCACACAAATCATAGATTTTACCCTAATACCAGGCTTCACTAATTATTCAATGTTCTGGCGGTCCAGCTCAGATGAAGAGGGACAGGTCTGCAATGTGGAGGGCTGCTCTTTTATCCTCATTGAACATCTGCTTTCTGAGCGAGAGTAATAAATCACATCTCCAGGGGAGGTTCTGTGGGTTGCCTCACACAGGACTGTTTCATCCATGAAACACTTCCATTTGATCTCTGATCAGTGTGACATTTTTCAGGGAGCCAGGCTCAGAAGTCCACAGATGATAAATTTATTTACTCAAAGTCCTTTACCAGGGACTTGCTATTAAAATTTCTGTAGATGAAGACCCTTCTTTTAGCTAGGATTATTAGTTTATTTTCCTGGAGATCCAGTTTTCCTGTTGCTATGATTAGAGGAGGTTTACCTGCCTTCTTTTCTTTGTCCTGGACAGTCAGTTACTTTAACTTCTACCCACCTGCTTCATTTCCACCATTCACTCTGAGAATGATAGTCTATTGGAATGGAATGGTAAACCTAATGTCTGGATTTTTCATTTTGTTTAATCGTCAATGAGATAATACTATATAAGGAAAAGCTTATCTGATCCAAGATTTCAGCTATTTTTTGTTTCTCTTCTATGTTTTGAATCTTTCAAAACACAATTTGAGGCCAGAGATAGAATATTGCTTTTCTTGGAGATTCTTTGTTTCTTTTTTCACTTAAGGCAAGCTTTCAGAAATTGTAGTTTTTGAAGGCCAAGAATGTGAGTCAATTGGGGAAAGATTTTCTGGATGTATACTATAATATATTACACCGGAGAAGAGCTAGTTATTTAAATGTTATCTTTTTAAAAGAAGGAACTTCATAATATTTTAAGCAATATAATATTTGTTTTGTTTCTGTTTGCTATTTATACAAATTACTCCTACTAGAGCAATAATTAATTTGGCTAATTGGAATAGAGTATGTTCTGGATGTTTTCTTCTGTCAATTATACTATATACATTATTGTATATTTTATTGAATATAAAATACCTAGTCATAAGATATTTTTGATGTAGG